TTCACAGTAGGTACAAGGTAGACGAAATTCTTCCATGTGGATCCGTTCATGTCTTTGGTGTAAATTGTTTGAAGGGTAGGTCATCTCACAGACTTCGTGTTCACAAACAAATGGTTTCAGGCCACTGTAAGAGCGTTCATGGATTTCCATATAAGCCTTATCAAACTCTTTCCCACAAATTGTGCAAGCGATTTTGGAATTATTGTCATGTGTTATCATATGGCGTTTATAACGCCGTTGAAAAATAAAAGTCTTACTACAGATATCACAAGAGTATGGATGGATTTCAGCATGACTTTCACCCTCAGGGTGTTCAGAGTCTAAATGAACTTTTAAGATTGGATAATTTTCAAACTTTGCGTCACAAGTGCACTTAAAAATTCTCCAGTATGCAGCAAGGGCAATAACTCAAAAACCGTTAGAACCGTTAGTTAGAACTTGTCCGAGATCTTATCAATTCCAACGATCGAACCAAGTTAAGAATCGGAAATGCGTCAATTTAACTTGTCCGAGATCTTAGGAATTCCAAAGATCACACCAAGTTTCATCAGAATCGGTTGAAAATTGTAGCTTCAATCCTGCTCACGAACTATTTTTAACAAATTTCGACGCGTTTTAACAAGAGCAATATTTCAAAAACGAAAATATGTCAAATTCGAACTTGACCGAGATCTTATCAATCTAAAGCATCACACCAAGTTTTATCAAAATCAGATAAAAACTGTAGTGCTCACAAGAAATGTTGACGGACGGACCGACCGACGATCACAAATTGCTGTGGGCGTACGTATACAAATGTATGAAAATCGCATAATTTCTTCGAAAATACTTCAAACTAGAAATTTACTCACTATTTATATTATGTCTATACATATCACAGAGTATTTTAAAATGGCGAGTCGTCATTTAACATTCAATCGCCCATAAATCTGGACACCATGGATCAAATTTCGACGGTGAGCTGTGATTACTATTACTGATTGGCTTAGCTAAAAAAAAATTCCCGTGTATGACACTAAAGTAGGCTATGATA